GATGCAAAGCGTGTCAGTCTATTGCTTACTTTAGTTAAAATGGTTTGGTTTATCACTTTCATTTCCAGATCTGGTCTTATTTCACTTCTATATGTCATTCAGCATCACCTTCAAATCCGCACCTTCTTGAGTCTTTTAAATCGCCCTCGATCATGTTCTTTGTAGCATAAATTTTTTAACAAAAATCTTTACAGACCATGTCACCGTTAGTGCATGCCTGACGCAGGCTCTTAGTGGTGAGCCTTCTCCTTTATCTTCGCTTTTACCAAACGCTCTCGCATTGGCTTGTAAACTCGCCCGCTGTGGTAAAATCGACGAATCGTTTAGTACAGAGTTCGTTGCCTCTATGCTAGTAGCATCTCTTGCACCGGCCAATCAAGTGAGCGAGCAGTCTCACCGCCCGCGCTCCTGGATGCTCAGTCATTCTGGGCCTCCTATTCCCGCACTTAAGGTGTGCTCTTTTTCTCTGTAATTCCAATAATTTCAGCATCACTGATCAGTTTAGTCTGTATCGTACCGACTTTTCAGCTCCTCTATTTCGAACTCCTGAAGTTTGTCGAGACATTCCCCCTCTTTATCAGCATCATTGATCGTATTGAATTCTTTAAAGAAGTTCGTATGAGTGAGTTTCTCCCTGTTGCTGTCTTATGATAGTATGCTTTGATAGACATTTTGCCATATCCAAATAGCTGTTTTCCTGAGCATGGTTTATTTGTACTTTGCATTGATACTCCAATTAAGCGCCTTTGCGTTTGCTGTGGGTTTGTCGACGATGTTCCCCATTGCATCCCAATTAATTCGTATATTCAGATAGCTTATTACTGTTGTCTAGTACCTTCAGCTCCATGAATTGTCCTTCAGGTACTGAAATTACAGTGTTTGGCGGTCTTTTGATATTTATGGCCCTTGCGGATTTTCATGGTCTTTCTCTTCCCTTTTTAGGCGGCGATTTCCGAATGGCTTTATTATGTCGATTCCTTGGTCGTGTTTGCGTGACCAACTTGCTTTGGTTACCTGAATTACCAGTCCTTCTAGGACAGTTGAAGACCACTTGTACACCACTCTCTCCCAACGACACCTCTGACAACCTTCTTCATGTTTGTGAACTCATCTTCATAATTGCCGATGGATGTCCTCTGCTGAAGGAGCAGCAGATTGATCTCCTCACAATTCTGGCTCAAGCTATTGATGGTGCCTGTGAGACCTATTTAAAAGAAGCGAAGGCGCCTGCATTGGATCCATGGATCGTCTATCAGCTTGCGTGTAAGGCCAGCTCGTGCAGGCAGCCACGTTTTGCTGCTGATCTGTTTGAACAACTAGCCTCATTGGTAAGGGCAGTTTTTCTGTATTGTCCTATTAGTTCCCATAAGATTTATAGTTGTATCGTCATTATTTTTCTTGCACATTCTAAGGAATTCTGGTGCTCTTGGAAAATTTTTTTTGGAACACCATCTTTGTCTCCACTTTGTAATTGTTGCCATCAGTCGACCTTTGGTTGGCTAGCGGTTACGGTCTTGCCCTTTTTTCGTCATGACCGCTGAAAGGTCTTCCGCTTTTCATGTTGAAGGGGTTATAGGTTGTTTCCCCCATTTATTTTGGTTCGTTCATTTCAGTAATAAACCTTGCATGACTTTTAGGCCGTTACCCTGAAGAACACCTATTGGCTTCGTGGCCTGGCTCTGTTCAATCGTGCTCAAGCTGATCTCTTTGATGCTGTTTGTGACCTGCCCCAAAACGGTAACTGGGTACCGAAGCTTTCTTTAGCAATAAGCACAGCGTCTAACGCTTTGCTGGAGGCACATCATTTATTCCTGGTATGTCTAGACATTTTTCTTAGCGTCAATTT